ATTAAATTGGAACTTTGAGGAAAGCTCTGCCTTGGACTCTGATTTAATTCTGGATGATATTTGGAACACTGACAACTTGTAGACTTCTTAGCAATATTTTCAGTAGTTTAAGATTGCTTCCTCCTAGGGCTGAGAGAGTAACTGTCCCAAAATTTCCCAGCCAGCTTTGTGCACAGTCTCTACTACACCAAACTGGCTCTCGTATACATACTATTATGTACTACAATACACTAAATTATATTGTACTTTGTTTCACTTGTGAATCTTGCTTTATTAGACTCTATCAGGTATTTTATTATTTTTAACAAAATGCATATCATTTTGAATCTCATATGCCTTTTGCTATCAAATATTTACCAAAAAAGGAATAAGAGAAACTATTCAAGGAACTCTACCATCCAATTTTTTAAAAAAAACTAATGTTCATTATCACAAACTGGCTTTATTGATTAAAAAGCTAAATGGATCATTAAAAAGAATCAAACTTACCATTCTGCAACTGGCTTGGCAATAGTTTCAAAAATATCATCTTGTTTTGATTCCTGATCAAATACTTTCTGAAATCTGCAAATTATAAATAATTAGTCATGCAAAATCTTCAACAATACTTGATTCATTTTCTTTTTTTTATTTAAAAGTAAATCAATGTTTACTGTTGACATCATTGCTTTACATAATCCTGAACAATTTTCTCCTGTAGCTTTTTCCACACTACATTATTGTGCTACTGAATCCACAAAGGACTTTAAACACTACTGCTTACAAAATATATACAATAAAATATTGTGATAAAATGTTACTGCTTAGAAAAAGCAAACATACTTTACTACTGTCATGGGGATCAACATTTCCAAGGGCCCACACATGAGCATGTTTAAGAAACACTAAAATAAAACAGAATATATAAACACTGCAAACTATTTTCAGTTTTCTTTTCTGGAAGAGAAAAGCAACATCAAGGAACTTACTTAACAGCGAGTCAAATACTTTAAGTCTTATGCCTTATTTCCATAAACTAAGATCAATAAATTATTAATGTTTTAGCATCTCTATAAAAACTTCTTAATACATGTTTATCTCTCTCTCTGCTCTCCCACCATTAAAAGAACCTATTTTGTTCAAGTGCAAATGACTTAAAAGCATTCTGTTGATCCATTACAATGGACAATAGAGTATTGTGCTACATTAAAGACTAACTGATTTTATTTAATCACTAGGCACCTGTAGCTCCTATTCCACTTCACTAGAAGTGCTGAAAAAGATTTTTTTTATTTAGTTGGGAAGGTGAGATAGAAAAGGGAAAGAGGAATAGATGATGATGCTTATATTAAAATTTGGGCCATCGATATGATGTTCACAGAACCTTTTTCCTTACATGTAAAACAAATGAAAATAAAATCAAAATTAATTTTCTTTTCTAGGAGGAAAGAATGAGACATATATCTCTTCTTTCCTGCTATAGAGCCAAGTGAAACTTTTCACTGACAATAGTAGTGGAATGGGGAGGAGGGGAGGGGGATATGAAGGGGAAGAAATCTGAATATACAAGTATCACTATGGCATGGAGATATGTGGGCTGCGCAGGAACATCCATGTGCAGGGCATTCAATTAGAAATTGCCTTCCTTCAATTAGAAATTGCCATATTCAAGGCTCAAAAAATCGCAATCAATCACAGAAGGATCTTGATAAAACTTGAACATTGGGCACTATCTAATAAAATGNTATATATATATATATATATATATATATATATCATAAGAATAGAAAGTATCCAATTGTCATAGAATGAAATGGGATTTCTGTCTCTAGGCATTCAAAGCTCTTCAGAGAAGGCCAAGGTCTTTGAATTGTTATCTGTTGATATAAAAAGCAAAAGTCATAAAATTCATTTTAGTTCTATCCTAATGGTATCAGTGTTATTTGAAATGCAATTTGTATAATTCTTAATTAAGATTATACTAAATATAAATTCATCAGAATAGTTTCTGAATTACTTCCAAATTTGTATTCAATTTATTTATACTGTTTTTTTTTTTTACTTCGTAGACTGAGAAGAATAATGTATTTAGATTGCTTTCCCTAATTTGGGAATCTTCTAGTTTTATGAATTGAAACTCTCAGAATTCTGTGCCAAAATGACCATTGCTGAGCATTCTGAGACTTGAAGTCCACACATATGCAGCATACCAAAACCAAGCAAAGATATTTTGGACCAAAAAGGCTCTATCTTTGTATGATAAAATTACCTCAGATATTTGGATAAGCAAAGAGGTGGAGGAACATATATAGACAATCCTTACATCATCAAAAAAGTTATAATTAATGTGCCTATTTATACTTTATACTGCTTTTTTAGGTTTACTCAAGATGCTCTCAAGAGCAACTACCAGGTAGCAAGTCATAAACTAACTTAAGCAGTTTATGTGTTAGATGGTTTGAAGACTCCGTATTACTGCAGATTTGAGACCAGTATGCCTACAAATGAGTTGTAGGAGAATAATGGCAGGAAAGAGTGTGTCTCTTATCTCCTGCCCAAAAGTAGCATAGAGACATCTAGTTAACCATTTTGAAAAATAAAAAAAGGTGAACCTTGAACTGATGTTCTTATAAGATAGAGAATGGAGAGAACAAAAGAATATAAGAAGTTTAATCTTTATTTCACTGACTGTAGCAAGTCCTGGCTGATTCCTGCTATATGCAGTTAGATTTTGTCAGAAAGAGGTCATATTAAAGCTAATGAATGTACTAGAACACCTGATTATTTTTCAGTGCCACTGTAATGTTGAACAGTCCCTAAATGAACTGTTGCAAGTTTAGATCTACCATACATAGTATAAGAATGGCAATATAGAAAGAGAAGACAGCTATAATCAAAACTGCAAATCCAAAGACTAAAAATTTGAGAAAATGGGCTGTAGGAGAAGTGAAAGAAAAAGGATGGAGACTAAGGTGTGCAAGATGCACCAGTTGTTCCATCCTGGATCAAACAATGCACAAGACATGCCGTATAAACCTATAAAGGCCTATCAAAGTACAAAAAAGACATTATAAAATATTATAAGAAATTATGTATATCAACAGACCAATGGCCATCTTGTACATAATCTTATATCTGATCAAAACTAGATACAAACTCTGAAAGTTAAACATACTTTTCTTTTTGATCTCAAAATTTGTATTCAAGGGAATATTGTCTGAAAATGAGCATAATGGATTGATATACTTACTTTCCATTAATATGAAGACACATTTCCCTTTAATTATAAATGTGCTTTGCAAATGTGAATTTATCTTTTTTCACATTTCCAATATATAAACCTAATATTTTCAAAAACTTTTTGGAATACGGAATTTACAACACTAACCCATACTTGATTAAAACACACACACTTTTTTCAAGTCAGCCTTGACTCTTGAGAACTGTCTGGAGAAATACTTGTGTCAGACCTGCAGTCATATTCCTTTTAGGATTTTTGACCTGCCACACTCTCTCTCATTTTACTATGCTGTTTCATTAGTGGGGTAATTGGGAGGGGGAATAGTAAGGAGTACAATTGTAGAATGTGTTGTTGTCAAAATAAAACATTCCTTTCTAGAAGCCCAAGGTCATTCTTTGTCTCTGTACCTCTGCACCTGACTGGAACTAGATGGGTGGAAATGCCAGTGTGGCAGAGGAAATTTGGACCATGTGATGGACTTGTGGGTGTGGGGACAAGATCATGAACTTTCAACTGGATGGGAACCCCAGGAAGCTTTCAGATTCAGGTTTCCCATAGATGTGCCAACATATCTCTCTTATTAAA